ACAGTCACAGCAGATGCCCTCGCTTACGCTAACTAGGCAGCCAGTTCTCCCGCAGGAAAATACCCCGTTCTTGTCTTGGGTACGACCAACTTCGACTCTGCATTTTTTTTGTATGTATAGAACCCCATTAACCAGATTTAAGTCGTTCCACAGGTCCCACAGTGCCTTCTCTCCCTCGGAAGCATCTTTCATTTCGAGACCAGTCGGCTTTCGCCCCTGTCCTTTCTGTGAACTGATGCGGGCGATACACGGGTCACTGGCTTGACCATCACCCCATTCTGCCTCCTCGGTTGTCAATAGAGCAACGTTTTTCTCGTACGGAATCCGAGATAAAGCGTCGGCGTTGGAGTGGTGCGATCCAGGTCGGTGCTCACAGGTGAATTCATATTCCTGCAGCTTTTCCTGCCACCTCGCAACCTGACCCTCGGGGTTTATGAAGTTCTTCAGCCACTGTAGTGAGTGATGATCCGTCATGACTTTAAATGGCTTGCCCAGAAGGTATGCTCGAAAGTAGTTGATAAAATATACTAGGGATAGCAGTTCTTTCCTGGTGGTGCTATACTTGCGCTCTGACGGATCCAGCGTGCGACTTGCGTAAGCGATGACAACTTCACCCCCTGGAGACTCTTGGGGTAAAACTGCTCCAATGGCGTTCTCGCTAGCATCTGTGTCCAGTACAAAAGTTCGCCCATTGAGGGAGATATCAGGAAGTGCTAGTATGGGAGGACAGGTCAACCTGAACTTTAATTGTGAAAAAGCACGATCACACTTTGCTGAACAAACAAAAGTACGACCGTTGGTGGGGAAACGATGCAAAGGGGCTGCAACTGAGGCGAAATCTTTAATGAATCTCCGGTATTAGGAGGCTAGCCCCAAGAAGGCTCTCAACTGTTCTACTGAGGTAGGACGGGGCCAAGCTTTGATACGGTCACACTTAGTGGGGTCCGTTGTGATTCCATCCGGAGTGATTATGTGACCCAAGAATTTGACCTCATGACAAAGGAAGTGGCATTTTAAGGACTTCAGGCGTAACCCTGCTCTTCTCAACCTCTGGAGCACTTCTTCCAGTCTTTCGTTGTGCTCCTCTATGGACCTGCCATGGACTATGATATCATCCAAATAGACGAGGCACCTTTCGGATATTAAGCTCTTCAAAACCGTGTTCATTAACCGTTGGAAGGTTGCCTGTGAGGGAACGAATCTTTCCGGGTCACTTCATTTAACTTACGGTAGTCGACACACAGCCTTAAGCTACCATCAGTCTTCTTTACCAACACGATAGGGGACGACCAGGGTGAGGTTGATGGCCGGATGACTTTCTTTCGTAACATATTCTGAATCATTTCGTCCAGCTGTGACACATAGTGAACTGGTAAGCGCCGTGCACGCTGACGAATGGGTTTACTGGTTCCGGTATCAATTTCGTGCTGAATCACATGAGTACGGCCGGGAACGCTTGTTGATGTAACAAAAATGTCCGCATACATTCTCTGAAGCTCTTGCACACTCTTATGAACTAGGACAACTTTTTTTGTACTGTTTTGCACCTGGACCCCCGAGCACCTAGGATATGTTGTGCTGTAACGTTTCTGT